ATTGACGACGCTTTTTGCATGTTCAAATGTGTCGAAATTTCAAAAGAAGGATGGATTTTTTTCATTTTCAGTGGCAGCGAAAGGTTCGTGATTTTTTCTTCTCATTCGGGTAGATTTTATGTTTCAATGTCAATGAAATGTGGCAGGGCTCAAAAGAAGAACAAAACTGCCACTTCACAATGATAAATCGATATACACGCGTTGAATTCGTTGTCGACATCCTAAGGAGATATCGATTCTAAGCTCACATTAGTCATTGATCCCTTTATTTCTTGCACATTTTAAATGCAGAGAAAATTCATTTCTATCAAATTGATTTCTCTTTAAGCTATATTCGCTTACTTCAAGCTGTACTTTGAATTCAAAGACGTGATTCGGTTTTTTTCAATTCTTTTGACTGTAGAAGAGTTGAAAATCCTCTTGTATCTTCTATTCCTTTGAAGCATCGATTTCAAAAAGTACGCATACTCGAAATGAAATTAGCTCTTCTTCATAGAATCTATGAAGTGCATAAAATCAATTAAAACGGCTGCAGTTTTCGTATTTATGTTCTGCGCTCCTAACATGAACAACCACCACTTCATTTGCAAACTCGTAAAAACTAATTGAATTATAAATCAAAGAGCAGCCCGTTATCAAACGACTAGGTACGTCTTATTTTGGTAGAGTTGGTAACATTGTTGCCATTTTATGTACTGATGTTGTTCATTGCCGCAAATTTCAATTTTGTTTGTGGGGGTTTTTGCTAAACCTTCATTTCAATGATGTGTGCAAATAGTTTTCTCTTCCTTCATCCGTCACATTTCCGTTGGTTTTGCCAATTAAACACTGTTCCACGACGCACTACACCGAAAAATGTTGTTTAATCATGGTACAAAGTTTACAAGCACCTTGGAATTGAAAATATTTTCACTCAGACACACGCAAACACACAATACACATTACCACATAAATCATGCACAACAACAGTTTATGCAGTCGACAATTCACAGCGAACGCGTAGCAAGCATAAGGCACTCACACATTAAAATCTGTTCAATTATTAAAACGACAAAGTCGCGACGGGATTTCGATGAGTTCACGAGAGCATAGTTTAATGTGTGGCTTTATGAGCAAAGAATGTGGTATTCCTATGTCTATTTTAGATACATGGTAAGCGTAAGCATTTTCAATGATTCCATTAGATTGTAAGGCGAAAATGAGCAACTAGTTTATTAATGAGCACTCAACTTCGATTTGGAATCGCGTCGCGCTATCGAAATCGAGATTGTGATGAATTTATTAGTGTGTTTTGAATGTAAAACTGCCATAGCATCCGGATGTCATTTGAAGCGTCGGCAAGAAAATTCACCTGTTTGTTCTTGAAAATATCAATGTCATTAAGACGCTTCGGAATCACGATAAATGTTCAAAATGACTTAAGGGCGCACGCATTTGTGACTTCCCTGATGAATGCCAACGATGCTTGGTTTTTTCGCGCATGTTGTTCAAAATGATGATTTAACCGTGTAGCAAAATTACACGAATGTTTACTCTCACGGCAACAACCTACCTCAAAAATCAAACTGAGCCCATCGAAAAGTGACGGGCGAGAAGCAGAGAACCAGAGAAAGAGATAAAAACTGACAAAGCTGTGTTTGTGGTTGAGACGACGAGAAAAAAGCCGTCTCCTGTTTACATTGGCATCGGAATCAATTTGTTATTTCGTTTAAGGCGAGACCCGATTCAGATTTTGACGTGTTTTTCCGATTTTTCTCCATCCGTGTGCCCTAAAATCACTTGTTTGCTTTTGCAATGAAAACAACAACAGCAGCAGTGACGACGGCAAAGGCGAATGGAACAATTTTTTTCCGTGTACGAAATGATTAGTGTGACGACCACGTAGCATAATTCTGCATAAGATATCAGTACATAGGATTTTTATCCTCATTGTGAATGTGGTCGTTCATATCTTTCTTTTTCCTCCCTCGTGCCACGATAAATCCGTACACTGAACTGGAGAGCTGCTGAATGGAATAAAGGTTTTTTTTTTTCGTTTTCATATGTGTATTTTAGTATATGAGAATGTGTTTTGAATATTTAAACACTTTTCATTCCCTTCGCAGTAGCAGCATCCAAATATCAATTTTTATCACTCGACCGGTCGAATATGTGCGCGTATGGATGATACGAAATGCTGGGACACGATGCTTTTTTCTCCATTCTTCTCTTCTTTGTCTGAATGAAATATGTTCCTTAGCTCACCAAAACGAGAGATGGTGAAGAGAATGAGAGCAAAATAGGTTACAAACGTCACAGAGATAGTGTGCCACCGAAACCTCTCGTATGCCAATCCCAGTCTTTGGCGCTCCAGCACGAACTCAATCTGATTAAATACATGAATATGTGTCTTCTTCTTCTTCATCTTTTGCGCCTTTTCCACTGTTACTACTACTGCTGCTGATGGTGCTGGTGCTGGTGATTTTTTTCCGCATCGAAAGACCACATTTATCTGTATATGTTCTTGCATATTCCGAACGTAAAGCAAAGCCCACAATGTGCCCATTTCCTTTTGATATATATACACACATAAAAACTTCATGCAAATGCCTCATATTTTCCAATTGAAATTTTTTCGAAATTTTCTGCGCAAATCCTTCGGCATTTGGCCAAAAAATGGACTCATTTGTGATTTGGCTTTATTCACGATTTTTACGACCGAACTGAAAAACGGTACAACTAAACAGATTTGTCAGCGACCGAACATAATTTATCGATGTCTTCCCGGAATTGCATTAGTCTTAGATGGCTTTTTTCAGATCACATATGTGGAATTATCGACGAAAAATCAACTAATTCCAAGAAACACTACGAGACCTGTCGGATATTATAACCAACCAACAGCAATACACGTTGACCAAAATTTGTTAAAAATGCCCTAATATTTAGTTTTCTGTGAGTCAATCACACCCAGTTTACGTTGTTTGTTGATGAAAAAAAATATCAAGTTTGGAGCGATAACAATTTTCTATTTTTCCTTCCTAATAGCAATTGTTAAAACAAGTAATTTTCTATCTAAAATCAGTAATTTTCCGCCCAGAATCATCTTTTAAAATTAAGTACTTAACCACTAAAAAAATCATTTTACACTCCAAGTCATCAACTTAATATTTGAAATATCTAAAAACTTTTTATGCGTCCTTATTCAAATGCGTCAAAAAGGTTATCAAAATCAGTAAACCGGCAAGTTTTCTTAGTATGTGTGTATTTCCGACTGAAATACCGCTCTGAATTAGGCGGAAAGTTGTGAAAATAGACTGCAGTGGTGGGCGTCTAATCGACTGATGGTCGAGTCAAATGGCAAAATTTTTTTATTTGAATTTGAATGCGGTTCAATTTGCGGAAGAAGCCATTCGAAAGTTATTCGAAAGTGATTCGCTTTGCGGCAATATTGATTTATGTGTATGGCTTCGGCCCGTGTGTTGCTGTCCCATTGGAAGCGACAATATCCGAGAGCGAATAAAGACAAAACAGGTCAATAATAAATCAAAGTGCCTATTTCGAGACCCTTGGCTAGAGTGCGCATCGATTTAGTTGATAAAAAAAAACCTTCTAAATTGTAATTTTGCGTGTGGTTTCTCTTTAGAAAACTTTTCGATTGGTCACACTATCTCTTTTCGTCCGCATCACTGTTGCTTTCGTTTCGCTCAATGGGTTTTCTCACACGAATTTTCATTTCCATGTAATTCCAGAGCAATAGAAAGAGTGTGCAAAAAAGCCGAACCAAACTTTGCCAAAAAGATATAGCCAAAAATACCGTTGACAATCCGACTGTCAACTTTGATGCGGAAATGAAGCATGTCAACAGCATACATAACGCTTTTTTGGGCAGGCCACCTTCTGGCCATTAAATACACATTGGATTCATGCATCGCCGACAATCAACACCAAACTGATTTATGGCATCTCATGAGCCCATTCTAACTATTACTTGAGAGAATTGTCAGCCTTCAAATTCAAAACGATGTCTTACGGAAGCGTCGTAACACAAATCAAATGCATGTAAATTCTTTGTAGGATTTTGTTAGTTGTAAAAGTTTTTGATGTTTTGAGGAAATCCAGTCACACGAAAACGTTCAATCTCGAATCACAGAGTATATCATTGCATTTCATATCAAAAGGACAGAGAATAAACAATAATGGCCTCTTTTCTCTCCCCGGACGACAGCTGTCAAAATTATTTCCAACTCGTATCGTTCAAATTCAAAGTACAACGCCAACCAAAAAGCGCTATATTTATAATCACATAATATAAAGAACTGATGCTCATCAGTTGTTTGTTATTTTGATTGAGTGTTGAATTTCTGAAAGTACTAGTGCACAAGAATGGAGTGACCAACAATGGATTAAAATAAGAATGCTCGAAATCGAAAAACCAAATAGAGCGTGAGTCTGAATGAGAAGAATTACAACATCTTAGGATTTTTCTATGTTTAAGCAGTGAATATGAAGGTGGGTAGAAAATAAAAATGTGAACAGAGAGTTGCGCGGATCATGGTAGCGGATGTTGCAGATGCAGAAGAATTGATTGATTCGTAATATTACGAGGATTTTGAGATCATTATCATTATCATCGTCATTATCATCATCTGGGGATAAATTTTTCGAATGGGAATTGCAACATTGGAATGGTGTCTATTGCCACAGGTAGCTATTTCGATCGGATTACTACAGCCTTCAGTTGTTTGTTGTTCTTTTTGATTTCCGATAATAATAAATTACTAATTCGTCAATAAAACAGACAAGCGAATAAATATGTATCTTCTGCTCTTTCCTATTCTTCGAATTCATCTATCGATGGGAATTAGCAAATTAAAGCCCTCTCAAATGTTGGCCAATTAAAAGTTTCAGACAAATCATCGGACTGTTGAACAATGATCCAATTAATAAGTGGCCAAATAAGTTAGCAATCATGTTTTCACATGAAAACCAATGCCCCGTTGCGAGAATCAAAATCTTACCTTTCAATTCGAAAATTTTCAATTTTGGTTCGTGCCACGGTAATCTATTTGTTTCTTAGTCTTGCTCTAGCGCTGTCACACCATTTGTCAGTTTCTTAATTAAATCGTTGTCGGTGCGCTGTTCTATTTATCTGTCTCTGTCTCGGTATCTGTATCTGTTTCTCTCTCTCCTACTCTGTGTGTGTCTCTTAATATGTTTTGGATCTTTGACACATGTTCGCAAATCGAAAATCCACAAACAACACCGTTGAATTATTAATGCGATGCGAATCGATGAGTGAAAGAGCACGTGTTTGGAGAATCAAAATTCGGCATTGAAATATTGATGGTATTAGTCCTTGGAGTGTTGAACAAGCTTTTACACATCAATCACTATCTGTTGTCTTGGCTTCTTGAAAATCGCCTTCAAATACGCTGTCTTTCTTTTGGCTGCTGTTTTTACGTTTCATAAATAAAAAAAGTTTCAAAACGCCCGTGTAATTCGATCTCATTTCTCAAAATGCGAAAGTTTTTCATTCAATTTACCTGTTTAACAAGCTTTATGTTGTACCTATTTTTCATCGACGCTTCATAATTAAAAGTGAAACATCGATTTTTGATTGCGTCAAACGAGCTCAAACTCTCGCTCGCTTTCGTTCTTTCTTTCTCGCTCTGTTTTTTGGTCTATTCACTATCAGAAACGTGAGTTTTGCTCATTGTTTGCAAGGATAATAACGGGTTAAACACAATTCCCTGTATATTTTCCCCACCCGTTCTACTCGCTATTCTATTCACAAATGTTCTCGCTTTTTACACCGATTCACTTTCAATTGAGAGAAACACGACTCAACCGAAGAATCTATGTTTTGGCTTTTGTTCGGTGTTGCTGCTGTTGCTGTCGCCGCTTCAAAGAAAAACAAAAGACTTTTCACTGTTTTGTTGTGTATTTACATTTCTGGGTGAGTGAGAGTGAGAAGCGCTTTGCAAAGGCGCGAATATACCATCAAGGAAATACGTTTCGCAATATTTTTCAAACGCTTCTTGCATTCTTTCTCTCTTTTTCAATTGTTTGCCCATTCATGATCAAGCTCGCATAACTCTGCTGCTTTTTGTTAGCTACGAACAGTCTCGTTAGACGATAACACACGATTCCATCTAGGGTAATAACTCACTAAGCGATTGCATATCTTGTTGAATACACTGAATGCGTCTTGAAAATGAACCAATGCAATTTTATAAATTTAGTTTTCTTCTCTTTAAAAAAAAGTTAAATTGTTCCGTAGAAAAGTGATTTTGTTTTCAATAATTTTTCTGATAAAATTCAATGCTCTTTATGTAAAGGTTTTAAAACATAAACCCAATTTTTTCTTTGATAAACTTTGTGTTCTTCCTGCAAAAACTAGTTTGTTGCCCTTAAACATCCCGTCCAATTATTGTTTGTTTTTACCAAGCTGCTCCAATGACACAAAGGTTAATTTTCAGACTGAAAATTTATATTTTGTTTGTTTTTAGTTCTATATTTTTGCAATTGATTGAACAGTATTTTGTTTGCAACGTCACATAAATGTGCGCCTTATCAACCTGAAAACTTTATTCAGAAATGCGTACCAAAAAGTTGTCACCGTCAACTTTCTTTCAATCGGCGAACATCACCACTAATAAACATTGTAAATACAATCGTAACGGCAATATGAGCCGGATTCCACTGTTTAATTTCACATCAACTCTTTATCGATATTAATGAATTCCAATATTCACTTCCATTAATTTACAACTATTTTTATGGAATTTTTCTTCTATTTTGATAATTTTTTGATTGGGATTTGTTCTTTTTTCCTCGAGATAATACGGGTTTCGAGCGAGCGCGTTTTATCATTTACAGAGCTTCACGGATGCGTCCAAATACTCAACTGAAATGGCATTTGCTTTGTGCTCGAGCAAAAATATTTGCAGAAGAGCTACGGCTGCACGGGATTTCCATTCGTTGGAATGATGAGCTGATATTTGGTCCATTTTTGCCATTCATTTCCAAAGATATTACTAGCGCCGTATCTAACACAATGTGTTCGGATGATGAGTCTGCGCACATACACAATAACGGGTGATTTAAACAAAATGAAGCCAACGCAAGCGTCACGTACGACGATATATGTTCGAAAAGGGGACACGCATGTGAGCGAAGGAGAGTGTTGACTGTGGTGAATTTTCTTAAATTGGGAGAACGGACATTTTTCTGGATGTTCATTGTTCAGCCCGAACCTTTCTCAATTCCTGGTTTGATATCGACTCTCGGACGATTTTGGTAAGAGAATGACGCGCTTAAAATTTATTTCAAGAAAATTGTTAATTTTTATTTACTTTCATTTCATTAACTCATTTAGTTTTTTTTTCGACTTGCTAAAAAAATATTGCTTCTTCTTTTTTGAATGAATGCAAAACGAATGAATAAATCAACAAACAATGATGTTTTTTTGTTATTTATGGACCATGAAAAAAATAAACACAATTTATTTTCGAAACCTTTATTAATTTTCCAGTCCTCAGAACATCCAACCCACTTTATATCGTTGCTATAAATGTTCTCAAGCGGCTGGTAATCGTGAAATCAACTCATAAAAACAAATCGAGTAAAAAAAAATATCCAAGCAACAAATTATGTGTTGTGTGTTCAACGAAGACAATATTTTCTTGTTGTTATTTTTGATTCGAAGCGATGCTAGACATGCTTCAATACAAGTACTTTGTTAAGCACGTACGCAGCACCGTTGTTGTGTCAATTGTGTGTATGTGTGCACAACTCGTTTCTATTTTTCTCATTGTTCATTTCCCATTCTCTCGCATCAATGTACGATTGCAATTTCATATATTTCCATCGTTGGCATGTTTGCCTTTGGCTTGTAGCATTTTGGGTGTCGCAAATGTGAATAAAGTCGAAATGCCTTATAATTTTCAAATAGTTGAGCAACAGTAGTCTCAGTTGTTGCCGATGAAGCTTGCAATGAATTACTTTTTACTATCAAATGCCCACAAGCACCAACTTAACGGTTACTACAAATACTCACCAAAGAAAATGGTCTGGGGAGCTACATTCATATATTTGTTCGCCTTAATACCCAGCCATTTTAAATGTTTCCATTTCAACTTCGTGCAAATAGTGAAGCGCACCAGATCGAGCGAAAGCATCAGCGAACGTAATTCAGTTCAAGGAGTGGATGGAAATTATTGAACTTGAAAATACAAATTTTTACAACATATCGACGACTTTAATGGCAGGAACTATATTTTATATTGCCTTTTGAAGGCACCGAAAATCTTATGAGTTGATAGAGCTTTTCTCCCCAGGAACATCTTTCAGTTCAGGAATCAAAAATTCAATTTGCTCTTTTCTCAAAGTTCAATATCTGCAATTGAGCTGTAATGAATTCATCGTGATTGGCGTATAACGAATTGGAATGTTGTTCGACAAGCAGCTTGATTTTACTTTAATTGAAAATTAATTGAATGCAGACAATCCTCGTAACGCGAAACATATGGAGACTAGATTGTGTATGTGTATGTGAGCGTTGGAACCACAGTGCGCACAAATCTATGGCAAACGGTGGCAATAATCATTATTTGCAGCATCCTCAATGCTAAAAATTAATTAAAAATAATTGGTATTTTCAAAACGTATAAATTTTAAATAATAACAAAATTAAACTCCAATCTAATTGCATGCGAAAGCAAACGAGGTGCTCGTTCAATTCAAACCACATACATTGGTAGAGCTGTAGTCGGGTCAAACTTGAACTATTGCATTCAACTGCTGATACTTTTACGTGCTGCTGCCATTATTCTCAATGTTTTCATTACAAATGCAATCATGTGCAGGGGACGAACGTAAATAAATAAAATCTTAGTCAATATTGAACACTGTGAATTTTTTTTAAATTCACAAGATAAACTAAAATATAATCTTAAAAAGAGTGTCAGTAGATAAAATCTTTTCGAAATTAATTCAAATGCTTGTGTGACAATCAACCGAACGAGTCCCTGTCGAATCGAATGTTCATGTCTGTTGCCAATCGTTAAGTTGCTATGCAATAAAATCATTTGCACTGATGCCATTGAAAAATAGATTGGTCTTTTTCGCGCGCTGATGTGGCGCTCGTTCAATGTTCAACCCCAAGTGAATTGATGCAAAACAGAGAAAAATACGCGGCTGGTTTCAGTCGTTCATCAAAATAATTTGTTCAAATATTCCTGAATCAAATTGATATATATATATATGTATATCGAATTTTCGTTCATACCAGGGATTATTACGGGATATTTTTCAGAGATGGTTCATCGTTTACCACAAGTGTATGGAAATATGTATCGGTATATACTAAAACGTATACCTTTGCGTTTAACGCGTTGAGCGCATGCGTCAGCTACTACTTTAGTGACAGCGAACGCAAAGGTATATCAATGTATATATACTGTTCTGTACGGAGTACAGTAAATACAACGAATTGATATACATATACTCCATCTCTGATATTTTTATTCAAAAATATCGCATAAAAATAACAGGTACTTTTACGCGTTGCGTTCAACGTTCAACGCGTTCAATGTTCAGAGTCCAAAAATATCTAATATTTTTCGCGCGTTGTGTTCAGAGAAACGCATAAGTAAACAATAGCGATTCTGCACCCACAGAGTCGCTTTTTTTTCGTTATACTCTTCACACTTACGATGAGCTGCGCGGAGCGTGCATGCACATGTTAATATTTGTGAAGTTCATTGTATTAAAAATGTAGGTAAAATGACATTTCGCCGACAATTTTAATACAATGGAGGTCAACTGATATTTTGCCTACAATGGCGAAAACACAGTGGGTAATTTGATGTTTTACACTATATGTTTTTTAGTTTGCCTCCTTTGAATTCTGAGAGTATGAATAAAAATATCCCATAGTAATACTCTGGTTGATACAGACATATTTTTAACCGGGATTAATTTAGTGTGTTTTAGCGAATGTGTTTAAATCAACGATATTGCGGCCAAAGCGGTTTACTGTTTAATTGCCAATTTACATAGAAATCTAGTTTGCAATAAACAAAAATGCTTAAATTTTATTTTATGAGAAAGCTCAGAATCAAACGAAAGAAAATTATTATGACGGGGATGAAATGAGGAGTTTATGTAAAATTGAAAAAAAGAGAAAACCGGATAAAATACAAGTGGAGATAAATTGGTAATGAATTTAAACATCTTTTGATTACAATAAAATAAAAATGGATGTCTTCCATTGGAAGATGATCTTGATCTATATACAGCGGTTGGTGCTCGAATCGACGATTTTTCATTGAAAATTCTACCCACATGCCATCTATGCATTTTTCGCCGCTCTGTGAAGTTCATTGTTGTGAGCGTATTTGAGTCATTTGTTTATCGCCGCTACTACATATAGTACATCGATTTCAAAGATGATACTAGCGGGCGTCTCGCAATAGACTGAATAGAGCCTGAGCGACAAGCCCTTGACTCCCTGCATTTATCCAATAAATCCAAAAATTTGTATCGAATTTAGGCGAGATTTACCAAAAGAGGTTAATGGTGAGTGACGCGAGTTAAAAACCTCTTTTCAAGCTTTTTGACCCTTTAACGCGTAATTTTTTATTTTTGAATGATTCTGTTATATTTTATGTGCCACGATAAATAGAGAAAAACCGCATACTTATACTTTAAAAAAATGTCGTATTTACCGAGAAAATCGGAATATCGCTATAACAGCCTGAAAAAATTAAATTTCATAAAACTAATGATACTGAAAGTTAAATTGACGTGTTTTGCTCCTATGAGTCATAATTTGATAATAATTGAAAAGAATGTACAAACCAAAACAGAGAAATACTCCATGTATTTTGTTGACATACTTTAGGAACCAATGCGTGATAAAAGGTTAAAACCAATGTTCAATTTGCAATGCGCATACACCATTCAGAAACATTGTCCAAAAATTCGTTTCAAATCAGAGAAATAGATTTCTTGAAAAACAAATATTCAACAATTCTGCACAGAAAAATCATTAGAATAATTGGTAAATCTCATTTTATGATAACAAAATGATGATGCAATCTTTTTCTTACGTCTGAGATACCCATAGTTGATATGAATTTTCAAGAATAAAAAGGAAATCTGAGTGAAGTACAGAGAAACTTAAAAACACATTTCTTCGGTGCAAAGACAACGAAAAATCAAATTATATAAGTACATTATTTACTTCTATACCTTAACTCGCGTCACGCGCCTTCCATCGCACCGGTTTCTTTGTTTTTCACATAATTTCTAAAGAAGGGTGAAGTGATGCGTGCAATGAAATGCATCATGAAACATTCCGAATCAATGGCTTTGGTATGATGAAGTGTGTGCATTGCGGGAGACAGGCAACTGTACTAGGAAAACAGGGTTTCTATTTCCAATTTCCCGGTGCGCGAGTACATTTCTAATGCATGTGTGTTGGTATATATGTTCTCCCGCATAAACATATTGTTTCTCCCATGTGCGGTGTTTCCATTGAATCATTGCCAACAATACGCTACAGGGTGGGTCTCACCGCGCGAACTCTTGTCATAATTTTTTCATGCAACCCAAACTTGGCCGCATACATCTCACTATTCACATGATAACCCAACCGTATATCATGTTCATATTCAGGTGCAACATTTGCAAGATTCCGTCTTGCCATGATACACAAAGCAACACAATTCGTAAAATATTTTAGACGCCTTCGGAACTAGATTCACTATATGCTTTTGGTATGTATTTTCAGGACGGGAACGGGAAAGGGGAACATGAATAAAAAATAATGCAATACATTCCAGAAAATAAATTCTGAAACAGTATTCTTCTATATAGGAACAAAATC